TTACGCCACGTGACACGGATAGCCCTCGACGGGCGCTCTCGAGGGGTGTGGCGCGCGTGACGGAAAAGTGCGTCACGGTCACGGAAACAGGCGGCCAGCACCGTGGGACCATTCAGGTCGAGCGCGGGCAACGGAATAGAGCTAGGCCGGTGGATGGCCTCGGGAAGGGGTCGACAGGCCTCTTCGGCGTGTTACAGGCCAGTGGATGGCCTTGGGAGGGGGGGCAGGTCATTATCTCTGTTCACCAGAGATAACGACAGCCCTGGAGCTCTGTGCGCGTCATTATTTCTGGCAACCAGAGATAATGGCACTCAGGGGACCTCGCGGAGGCGTTTTGGGCCCAAAACGTAACACGGCCGTGTTACAAAAAGTATATTAATAGGCGTGTTACCGGAGCGTTGGACATTCTGAGGTTACTTGATGCGCTTTCTACGGGCATCTTCTCCTACCCTCGTTGGCGACGTCTGTCATACCCTCGCGTACACGAAGATTAGGCCCAATTGAACTCTCGCAATGGATGGAGGGTGCATGAGGAACTTGGGAGGTAATGCTGCCGTTCGGTGGGGTTCATGGTGTCATCTTCGGTGCGTTTCTCGTCACTATTTCTTCGTTTCGGTGCTCACATATATATTGCTACGCGTGTGGCTTGGCTACCATCGCAACTGCAGTTTCGACGACCGTGTATGCTGCGCAATCTGGCCATTACGCCCTTCTCCGTACTATCTCTGTCTCCGTCGCTTTTCGTCCTTCGTCGACTCGACATCTCGCCACCGTGCTCTCATCTCCATCGCCGTCGATGATGCATATATGCATACTATCAACCACCTCGATCTTCCGAAGGACAGTTTACCTGTGCCCATCCTCTGCCACTCAAACGTCGAAACCGCATTTCTCGTGGAACCCATCGTAGCCTCGCGGTTCGAGGGTAGCAACATATGGTCTAATTTTTGTTGATTCTAGCCTGCGTCACTCGAAGATTGAACCTCATAGTCCCAGACAATCGCCTCACGCGCCGGCGCTCGGATAATGACACTCGTTCTTAGTTCTTCAGTAATTCGACTCATTTCCGTGAAGAAGGTTCGAGAATGACACGAATTCGCCGCGCTGTATCTCTCAAGTCGAGCCCTGCGGTCGTGTATCTGCCCTTGCTCTCTCTGAAATGCATAGATGAGTCTCGTCGAAGGTTAGGTACGTGCTCGCCACCCTTTTCTCTCAGTCTTAAGGCACCAGCTGACAACGTTCCTCGGTGTTGTTCGACAGGATTTGAGCGAGAATATCCCTTTCACGAACGATTGGCTTACCGGACCCGCATTCACGCTGTCGTCAGTTGCCTACCGCCTATTGTAAGTGTCGAAGCCTTCCTCTATTCATGCTGTGGACTCCTCCGTGCAAACGTTCGATATACAAGTTTGTTTGCTGCTCTTCCTCGTGGCATGTTCGGAATGGTAGACTCTCCGATTCGCTTGCAGCTGCCAAGAAGTGGTTTCTGCCGTTGAAGGATCACCACCGAGTTTCTTTCAAGGCCATTCTTCGGTCGTCGACTCTAATTCAACTAGAGCTAGTTTGAATTTTTAGCCAGAGATCTTCCGTCTCCTTTTATTTTTAGGGTATCTGGGTCCCTGTTCGTCCTCATTCTCCTCCAGCACCGACGTCCTCGCGGCGGGTCTTCGAACTTAATCTACGCTTGCTGGTGTACGATGGGAATTGTTCGAGCTGTGGCAGAAATACCTGATAGCGCCCCGCCCTTCCATTTAAGATGATGAACGCCTCGAGCCGTGCCTTGCGAGGCTGCATCGTCCTAGTGAAGATTCTTCCCTGGTGGACCCCCTGTCGTTCAACTTGTATCTCACCCGTGGGTCTCTTGTAATCGTCTCTGCCCAATACATTCTTCGATTTGACGAACACCTTTTCGTGTGGCCAGAATCCGGCTTGGATACTTGCGTCGAGAATACCCTCTGGTACGAAATGAATGGACGACTTACAACTCCGTTCCTTATCCCTCCGATCTACTAGTAAAGCCCGTCTGCGCCACTATATATATACTTTATATACTACGACGACGACCAACGATACCTCCCGCCGCCCAACGCCAACACCAGCACCAGGCAGAACGCAAAACCTACGCTACAAAGTTCCAATGCAAGACGAGAGAAGCTATGAATGTAGAGCCCGCCTCCGCCATCTGGGACCGACGTACTTATACCATCGAACTCAAACTCAAACAATCCGCATCAGAAACGTACCTCCGTACCTTCTCAATGACCCAGACGTCAAGGGTCTATCCGCCATCAGCGATACGAGTCAAGTATGTAAGTCGAATATTCTCAAACGCTTGATACACGACTCACCATCGAACCTACAGTAACACCACTTCGGGTTCGCTGCCACTAGCGCTGCACGAATCCCAACGACTCCTTCAGCTTCTGATCCCCACTAAACCATGAAATAGACAGCCCACGTTGAACGAGGCCGAGGTGGTCCGGTGGTCCGGTGGGGTTGGAAGGGCGAGTAGTATGTAGAACGAGATGTGGAGGTCGACGGCGAGAGGCTGGAATGGAGAGAATAAGAATGAGGGTAGGTACGCATTCCTACACTCGTGGATGACTGGCTGACCTTCTGGGATTTGTAGCTCGTAATCCATGCACGCCCGACGTCATTGAGGATCCTGAGAGGCGAGGATCTATAATGATGGACGTTGGGTGCAATGTCCTCGTGTGATCCTCCATTAGAACACACGAAAACCTGTGCAAATTAAAGGTCGACAGGTGGGCCGGTGCGAGGACCTCGTACGAGGAACGTGCTCCGATATATTACCGAAGGGACAGCACATTCGCTCTTCGAACCCGAACACCGCGTTCGTCAGCATTATGCTGGATCTCTTGCGACTCCGAGCTGGGCATAAACTTAGCTATGTTCGTGCTCCACGAACACAGGAGGCCTCGACACGAGAACCCCCAGAACCTCTAAGTTATCGAGCACATTCACCAGTCTCTCGGCCCCTAATACAGAGACAGTCGAACCTCGGGGATGTTCTGCGCCGCCGTCAAGGTTCAGCACTCAGCGCTCAGCGAGTACACGATGCAGAGGTAAGTAGCTCCGTCGATCTCTACGAGTGCAGGTGAGTTATTCTCTTCATTAACGAAATAGAGATCTACCTATTTCTTCACAGCGTTCTCTATCCGCCGATCCGACGGCCTTCCAGAGCCCTCATGCCACTGCAGCACCGTGCACGCCGGCCTCGTCCAGAACGACTCCTGCAAGTCGACAACCACGTCGCTGGGAGATAAGAGGTCCAGGGTAGTTGGTGGGGCTAATTATATAAATTGGATAACCGTAAGTTATTGTCTGTGTGCTCAATGACTGTGAACTCACCTTTTCCTAGGGATTTCTTGTCCGCTCCTATAGCTCTCTGCTTCCGGTGTCATCGATACACATCGTACGTGGACTGTAGATAAGGTAAGCATATCGAGAAGAACCACGACTCACGACTCCCCATCCCGAGACCTTCCCTCCCGTCCTCGTGCTTCCCCTCCGCCATCCACGTCGACGGACGTCTCTTCTGCGCCTCTCGCTCCTCTCCTTGCCGTCGCACGGTGCGTCGGATGTCTGAGAAAATGATAGGTCGCGTTGATCTTCGAGGGAGGTGGTCGAGAGGTCTCGGAGCGAGGTCCTGGCTTTGCCTGAATTCGTGGGCGGCTGCTGCTCTAGGTCCTGGAATCGACGAAGTTGGTGGGTCTTAGTATCATGGGCACCATGGTGTGGGAGAGGGACGTGATGCCTAGCCAGGGAGCCCAATGAGCGAGAGGTACTAGAATATAACATGGTAAGTATTGATTTCCCATAACATTAGCGCTAAAACTCGACTGTAGTATCCTTCGTAGCAGTCTATCCACGCCATCGTGCCCCAAGCCGTCGATATTCGCGTTCGCGGTCGATGTTGACGAGTCAAGGGAAGGGAAGCCCTTTGTTCTTGTACCTTGCGTCGAGTAACGCGTAGCAATAGGAAACGAAAATCGTGGTCTTTTTACGGGATTGACAAGAGATAGGGAGAGATATGAGGCGAATGAGAGAAACGCGAAGAGGTGAATTTCAGGCGGACGAACAAGGGAAGGGGATGTTCCCTTTCAACAAGCTCCAGCAGTTCATAGGACGCTTATAATTGGGGGAAAATACTCTAGATTACTTTGAGCGCTACATTGACATGGGCCGCAGTAGACTCGGGCGGCTAAGTATTTCATTTGACCTCGAGGCGAAGCAGGGCATCATAGTACATAACTCCTCCTTATGGAGTGTCCAATCCAGGAATTCACAGATGCATCAGCACAAGTAAATTCGTATACATAGGATATAAAATCGGCATACGGAAGATCTCAAGTCCAGTTCGGGCTGTGGTACAACAAAAAATAGGAGTACATCTATCTGTCTGGTGAAGGGCTGTCGGCAGAACGGAATAAAGGATATGAACAATGGCCTACTTATCACTGCAGACGGGGGCTGCGGCTTCGGTTTCGGCTCCGTGCTGTCCGGAAAAAGTTTAATCACTACGGTTCGCAGAAACGCAGCGATAGAAAACTCACAAGTTCCATAGTATCGTACGGAATTATCGTTGTTCATATTCGACATCTCGACGTTCGTCACATTCCCCGAGTTGTTGTGGTGCACGACGTTCTGCGTCGTCCCTCCGAGACTGATAGCACTGCCCGAGATGTTACTCAGCGAGACAGAACCGAAGTGCGTCGTAGGCGGCGCCAGCAGGTACGGTGACGGTGCATATGGACTCGACGGGTATCCCGGAGTAGACATGGGCGCCGGTGGAGACACAGGGTAATACGGGTACCCATGAGCGAACTGCTGAGGTTGGGGACCGGGACGCCTCGAAGGCTTTCGTTTCTCTTCGTCGGAAGAATCAGCGTCGTTCTCACTTGCTGCACGGCGATTTTCCTCTCGCTCTCGGCGTCTCTTTTCCTTCGCGAGCTTCTTCTTCAAGCGCTCATTCTCATTCCGGCGTTTCTCCTCTTCCTCGAGTCGAGCGACGCGTTCATCCTCCTCTCGAATCCTTTTGATTTCGGCCTCACTCTTCCGCTCCTCTTCTTCCTTCTGTCGTTTGATTCTTTCAATCCGTAACTCCTCGCGTTGGGTTTCGACGGCGATCAAGACACGGTGTACGTTGTCCTGTATCGTGATAGTCGACTGAAGCTAGTAGCAGCCTCTCAGTTCCAATTGGTGAAAGCCAGGTGTGATGAACAAGAACTTACGCCAAACAAGTCCAATGACTGCCGAAGCATCACCTTGAACTGCTCGATCTGTTCCTTGTCCCTGTTATGATGAATGACTCGCTTGACGTAGCCCCGGTCGACTCTCTTGCTAGTGAACTTGTCTATCGTGAAAAGATTCCTGAAGCTACATGAGAACGTACGAACAAGTGGAATGAAAGGAGTACGACGTACTCAAGAAGCTGCCGAATATGCTCCTGCAGTCGGTCAGGTACTTTTCGGCCAGATTTGATGATATTG